GGATAAAGGTGTTCACCACCACTCTTGTCCCAGGTGATCTGACACCCTTCTTTTGGCTTCCACAGAGACCAAGCTCACATGCAGAAAAAACACCTACACACATGAAATAAAAAATGAAATCTTAAAAAAATAATTAGGTAAGGTAGCACTTGCTTTTAATCCCAGCACTCACATGTGCACATAGTAAGAAAAAGCAAGTCAGAGCTAGAGACTGCTCAGTAAGAGTACTTAGTGCTCTTCTGAAGGATCTGAGTTTAATTCTCAGCACCCATTATAAGGCAGTTTACAAATGCTTGTAACTCCACCTACTGACACCCTCTTGAAAAATTTTTGCCAGGCGGTGGTGGTGCACCGCTTTAATCCCAGCACTCTCTAGAGGCAGAATCAGAGATAGGCAGATCTCTGTGAGTTTCAGGCCAGCCTGGGATATGGAGTGAGTTCCAGGAAAGGCACAAAGCTACACAGAGAAACCCTGTCTCGGAAAAAAAAAAGAAAAGGAAAGAAAATTTTTCCATGACTTAAATTGAAGCAAAAGATTTCCCTGCCTAAAAAATAAATGAATAAAGTAGCAACAAAAATAGGAAGGTTGGTTGATTGAGAGCCACTCTAAGACTATAATCTTAGAAGCAGCAACACTTTCTCCCACTAGTGGGCTTTTATCCCCCCTCCAAGACAGGTTGTCACTATGGGCCAGGCTGGCCTGAAATTGAGATCCACCTGCCCCTCCCTGCCAAGTGCAGGGACTGAAGCTCGTCCTACCAGTTGATTCTGATACTGGTGTTTTGTCTCCATGTCTGCATGTTTAGTACCCACAGAAGCCAGAGGCCAGAAGAGGGTGGAAGAGCCTCTGGGAACTGGAATTAGTTATTTAGCCACCATGAGATTACTGAGAACTAAAGCTAGATCTTCTGCAAGAACAAGTGCTCTTATTTTATCATAGACCCAATTTCAATATAATGTGGCTTGTAATGAAGCTCCAGCTCCAACAGATCCAATGCACTTTTGGATTCAATGGGCACAGGATCAAGTTTGCCTGCATACAAATACACATACAAAAGTGAATTTTAAATGAATAAAAAAAAATATGGGATAGGTGACTGACATGGTAGCTGAATAAAAACCTACAAAAACAGGAATCTAACATGAAGAAAAATGTCAAGACCTTGAAGTAGAACATATTTAGCCAACTTTTTTAAAATCTCTATTTTATGTGCTTTGTCTGCATATATGTGTAACATTTCAGTGCCTAGTACTAAGAGGCCAAAAGGGCATCAAATTCATTAGAACTAGAGTCTTGGATGATTGGAACCATCATATCCATGCTGGTAAATGAATCCAGATATTCTCCAACAAGAGTACCAAGTATTCTTAACTGCTGAGCCATCTGTCCAGTCCCTAGCCAGTTACTTAATACACAGTAAGATGACCAGTGTGCCAGGAGTAGTGGCACAGACTTTAATCCTACCACTCTGGAGGCAGACTGCTCTGAATTCCAGGCCAGCAAGGACCACATAAGGAAACAGACCATTAACATGAGCAGAACACAGTGTAGTTAACAGTAAAGAAGAGGGGGAAAGATCAATATAATTTTAACTTTAGTTCTGAAATAAGAATCCACTAAGTTTCAAGCACTTGTTTAATTTTTTTCCCTTGAGGCAGGTCTCACTCAGCTCTAGATCCTTTTGAATTCTATACAGCTTAAGGTACCCTTGAGCTCCTTTTTAATCCTGCCTGTACTTTCCAAGTGCTGGATTACAGGTATAAGACACCAAGCCCAACTTTTTTTTTTTTAAAATAATTTATCTTTATTCTATTTGTGTTGGTTCTTTTGCCTGCATGTATGTCTATGTAAGGGTGTCAGATCTTGGGAGTTACAGACAGTTGTTAGCTGCCATGTGGGTGCTGAAAATTCAAACTGCATCCTCTGGAAGAGCAGTCAGTGCCATCTCTACAGCCAAGCTCAACTTTCAAACATTACATTTTAGCAGAATCAGTGCAGCTGACACTTTTGAGAATAGACTAGTGTAGAGGACAAAGTAGAAGTGGATGTCTACTGCAATACACTAGAGACAATGAACTGACATGGACAAAAAAAAAAGGTGCAGTAAACGGTTTTAAATGAAAAGCTGATAACATGATAGGAAAGAGAAAGTAACCAGTCCTTGGCCTAAGTGACACAAAACCTGTAGTTTGTAAACCAAGGTCAAAACAAACCAATTTTAAGAAACAGTCCAGATATAGCTTGTTTTTGAAATAACTGTTTTCCTTTCTGAGACAAGGTCTCACATTGTAGGCCACTGGACTTGGCCTTCAAAAAAACAAGGTGGCAATTCTGGCCCTGCATCCCGAGTGAGTCAACATACTCTGAAGTTGGTACGAATGATATTCATAGAACTGAAATAACAGTTCATGAAATAGGTACAAAACAAGGAAGGACTGGAGTCATACACAACTCCAATAGTTAAAGGAACAGCAACAACCTGAAATCAAGTAAAAAGGCATAGGTGGTTAAATGGTAAAGGTGAAATGAGATGAAAATTGAAAAACAGATCACTGTATTTAGTAACACAGACTTCAACCATTATTTCTTTTTTCTCCGAGTAAAAAATACTTTAAAAGTGCTTGCTTCTTGGGCTGGAGAGTTAAGAACACATCTAGAGGATCTATATTCAATTACCTGCATGGTAGCTTAAAATTAACTGCAGTTCTAGGTTGATGCAATACCTTGTCCCTGAGGGTACCAGGCATGTACACACAGGCAAAAACCCATTCATTTAATTTTTTTTTTAATTTCTAAAAATGAGAATTTCATGCCACTTCTTTCTTTACCCTTCACTGGCTCACAAAAAAAAAAAATACTCATTGGGCAGTGGTGGTTCACGACTTTAATCTCAGCACTTGGGAGGCAGAGGCAGGGGGATCTCTGAGCGCGAAGCCAGCTTTGTCTATATAGATCAAGTTACAGGATGGCCAGGGCTACACATACAGAAACCCTGGGGGGCAGGGAGGACACGACATACACCATACTCTTTAACATAGTACAAATTTCTTATCTGGCCTTACTCTAAGATTCAGTTCACTTCCTTTTAAAAGAAGTCACTGGCCTCCTGATTTAGCCAAACACCCACTTTTGCATTCATCTACAGATCTGTGCATCTCATCACAGGTTATAATTTCTTACTCCATCTATCACAAGTAGGCTGAGAGGTTCTCCTCACAAGATCTTTGACCTCCCAAACAAGAAAAGCATAACCTTAAATAATAAACTTGTAGGACAAGAAATAAACTGACCCTATAATGAACAGCTGCATCACAATACAGAAAAGGTAGAAAGATTTCACTTCTTTCCCAGACGTCAGGAGCTTCTGCTTTAATGTTCCATTATTCTTTGATGCTATCTTTGGTGTTCATTTGACCTACATTTTATTTTGTCCAAGTTAAGAGGGCACATGATATACCCACATGTCACAGCATTCTTTTTCCATGTTGAAACTTACTACATTAACAGCAGTTACCAAATGTGGTGCTTTCCTTTAATCCCAACACTTGGGAAGCCGAGACAGGTAGATCGGAATTTGAGAATAGCTAGCCTGGTATACATAGTGAATTTCAGGACAACCAGGCCTATGTAGCAACCTTCTCCCAAAAAAAAATGTAGCCAGGTAGTGGTGGCACATACCTTTAATCCCAGCACTCGGGAGGCAGAGCCAGGTGGATCTCTTTGAGTTCGAGGCCAGCCTGGGCTACCAAGTGAGTCCCAGGAAAGGCGCAAAGCTACACAGAGAAACCCTGTCTCGAAAAAACCAAAAAAAAAAAAAAAAAAAAAAAAAAAAAAATGTAAAAAATAAAAGTTAATAAAAAAATTGGCTTCCAGGCCGGGCATTGGTGGCACACACCTTTAATCCTAGCACTCAGGAGGCAGAGCCAGGTCCACAGAGTTCAAGGCCAGCCTGGTCCACAGAGCGAGATCCAGGACAGGCACCAAAAACTGCACAGAGAAACCCTGGGGGGGAGGGCTTCAAGCCAGTAATATTCCTAACTCCAGCTACCTATGCCCTCAATAACCACTGCATTACTATATTATTATAGCTTCATTCCTTTACACCACTGAAGGTAGGAATAGCTAACTGGGGCTTCATGTCATCGCTATACAATCCCCACTGCTACAGACGTAGAAATTAAAGTCTATCCTCCCCTTAAAAAACCCTTCTGTGACACAGCATTTTAATACTATATGTATTACTATTTCTTGTGATTGGATCCATGGGGTTTTGTTTTGGTGCCTGTACTGGATCTCGCTCTGTAGACCAGGCGGGCCTCAAACTCAAGAGTTCTGCCTACCTCTGCCTCCCAAAAGTGCTGGGATTAAATAAAGACATGTGCCACTACCACCAGACATTTTTTTAAAATATTTATCTATTTTATATATACAGTGCTCTATCTGCATGTACACCTGCATTGCCAGAAGAGGGCATCAGATCCCATTATAGATGGCTGTGAGCCACCATGTGGTTGCTGGGAATTGAACTCAGGACATCTGGAAGAGCTGCCAAGGCTGTTCTTAGTTAATGAGCCACCTCTCCAGCCCCCTCAACTTGTGTTAAGATAAATATAATCTAAAACGTACAAATGTAATCTAAATTGTATTTTTTGTTTTGAGGCAATGTTTCATGTAGTCCATGTAGGCCTCAAACTATGTAACCCCAAAAACTTCAACTTTTTATACTTCTGAATGGATCATAGGTGTGCCTGTCACCAGGCCCAGGTCATGGAGTGAGTGCCAAGAGTCAAACTCAAGAGCCTCATATACAGTAGGCATTCTGTCAACTAAGCAATACATACACCCAGATCCCAAAGATTACTCTGAACAGCTCAAAGATAACCTGAGAAAGGTCTAATTAGAGGCATTTCCAGGGGCTCTGACTTAAGCATCATCTAAACTTAAATGAGTCTATTTCCTAGTCTTTGCAATGAAACCAAGTGGACCTCACACCTCTTACCATCACCCAGGAAGGGTGTACATCTGTTCCGAAGGCCCCCCTGGCTCCAGGTCATCCTGGCTGATGCTGCTCCAGGCTGGGCATCCATGTTGCTGCGGCTTGTGGTTTGTGAGGGGTAGTGTACAGGAAAAGCAGGATGGGATTTCAAGGGAAACAGTAGGAAGATGGCTTTTTGGGAAAATGCCATCACCATTATAGGTGTTAAATAGTACCACACACATTTTATTGCAGCACAGTTTAAAAATTTAACAAATGAAAGATTAAAAAGAAAAAAAATAAAAATAAAAAAAATTAAAAATACAGACGTCCAGAGATGCTCTAAAACAGTTAAGTTAAAGATCAGGAAAAATAAGGTCAAAGACTTAACAGCCAGTAAAATTATTTCCAGTGTGGGGAAGGGGTTGAGGGCGAGGGTGGGGTTGGGAGAGAAAAGGTTTATGTGATCAAACTACTATAAAAATGCTAACACTTTCACTTTCTCTCCCAAGATGGAAAACTCCAAAGTCAATCAGGAGGCTGAAGAAATCTTAACATTCAGAAAAACTCCACTTTAATCCGGTTAAAAATCATCATTATCATCATCATCATCACCATTATAATAAGTATAGTAATAATAAATAACTAGTAAGTAACAACAATAAAAAGGAAACCAGCGAAAGTCAGGAAAAATGTAAAAAAAAAATTGTAATAACTTACTGTAGCTGAAGATCAAAAAAATCTCACTGTAAAAAAACAAAAATAAAAATAGCCCAGATTAGAAAAACGGGAGGTGTAAAAATGTCAAGTCAGTAAAGTTCATTTCTTTTCTTTTCCAAAAGCAGTTTCCACAAAAACCGCCAAGGGTAATGTTCTCAAATAGCAGACAAGCAAAGCCCTTTCCACATCATCAATTAATCTTAAAAATACACGAGGAAGTAGAGAGGTCAGTTTATGAGGCTAAAAGGCTCCTCCTCTAACCCAACTGCTGCAGAAAAAATAGAAATAGAAATTTTAAAAATTACATCTTAAATCCAGGTCCCGTTTTTTTGTGTCTGTTTTGGAAATAATTTTAAAAAAAACACCTGTATATTTGCTGTAGTGCACACCAAGTTGCATCATTATGTTTAAAATGTCTTTATAAAATCAATTTTGTAATGGGAATGTGTGTGTTCTGGAAGGGTGGGGAAGGGAAGTTAAAAATCAAAGCTGAGCTCCAGTGAGTAAGGATGGGGTTCGCCTTGCTGCCCTGTGAAAGGAGAAGGGACAGATTGAGTCATAGTTCCTCAGAAATGTGCCCTAAACCCAAGACAGAAATCTGTCTGTTGCATCTAACACATTTTGGTAAAGCATTAACATTTCACTGGGATGGAGAGAGCCTTTAGAGAATCATCACTTCTATTTAGTGACTGTTTTTACAATTCTTCATAGTCAATATGTGACTGAAGTTAACTAAATTCAAGTCTGTATCCCCTTTAAGGGGATTGGTAAGAGTATACATTTGAATGTTTGCTTTGTGATCAGAAGTTTGGGCAATGAAGGAAATACAGAAAAACCAGGTCAACAAATGGAGATGAAGTGAATAAAAATCAAACAGATTCATGGGTTTCAAACCTGAGGCCATGTTTTTTCCTGTGATTAACACAGACTGAAGGTGAATGGTCTATCTACCATGAAGACATACACTAAAAGGGACTCATCTATTCTCAAAGCCAAAGAGTGAAAGACCACAAGACTTTGATAAGGTTTTACAGTCAGGGTGAAAAGATGTTCTTAAAAAGGAGCCAGCCCTTTTTATTCATCATCACTGACAGTGAAAAGCCATACAAATGGAAGAAGGGTCCATGAACACTTTATGTCATGAAACAGGTGATAAAGATAGTGTCCTTAATGGATGTGTTCCATTTTTTTTATCATCTAGTGTTCCTAAATCCCAAGGGATGAAGAATCTGACACAGAATGTAAAACTGAAATAATGTACATGACACAAACTGGTTGTTTCATCAGCTAAAAAAAGAAATGCAGTTAGTAATCTACTCATTGTAAAACAAGACTTGTTACATTCCCATTTCATTTAGACATGAGGGAGGCTTTATTCTCCCTTACCAATGTTTCCTAAGTTAAAATTTTAAACTGAACCTTTAAAAAGTATTTATTTATCAAGCTAAATTCTTATTTTGAAACATCAAAAACTACAAACAGAACAAATAGTGTTAACTCTTTAAGACTAAGGATCAATTTCAAATAGACAAGCTCATACAAACATAAAAACTGTATATAGTAAGTTTCCTGGTAGAACAGTAACATTTGAAAGTCATCTGTATTTTGGAAGCAATTCTCATTAAAATTTTTTATTTGGTACTATCCTGAACCCAGTAACCAAATCTTCAAGATGTTAACCCAATAGTTCAAAAAAGGAAAATCCTTAGTACATACACGAGACATAGGCAATGTAATTTGAGCAGAGTAGCACAAACCTTTACTCCCAGCACTAGGGAAGCAGAGGCAGGTGATCTCTTTGAGTTGGAGGCAAGCCTGGTCTACACAGTGAGTTCCAGGACAGCCAGAGTGTCAGAGCTACATAGTGATTCCCTCTAAAAACAAAACCACCAATCCCTATCCTCACCACTCCTCCTCAACCCCCAAAAGCAAAGCATTACATGTTTCATGTCAACATGTTTTCTCACCCAATTATCAAACTAATGAACTAATGCCATTTTTTTAAGAAGCAAATGTTTTTCAATAAAGAGCATGTATAGAGAGGCTGGAAAATGGTTCAGCATATGAAGAGCACTTGCTCTTACAGAGGATCCAGCTTTGATTCTCAGCACCCCATTGGGTGGCTCACATCGTAATTCCTGTCCCAGGAGATCCTATGCTTTCTTTTTGGCCTACATGTCCAGCATACACAAACAGGGTGCACATTCATACATGCAAGCATTCATATACAGAAATCAAGTTTTAAAAAGTATTTCTAGGCTATACTGCCAAAAAAATTCCATTAAGGTTTAGATAAGCTCTTCTAAAAGGATGCTTTAAATGAGTCAAGCCAACCAAGAGGATAAGAATCATCACCTGGTACTTAATAAAAAAGCAAAAATCTTAGCCGGGCGGTGGTGGCGCACGCCTTTAATCCCAGCACTCGGGAGGCAGAGCCAGGCGGATCTCTGTGAGTTCGAGGCCAGCCTGGACTACCAAGTGAGTTCCAGGAAAGGTGCAAAGCTACACAGAGAAACCCTGTCTCGAAAAACCAAAAAAAAAAAAAAAAAAAAAAAAAAAGCAAAAATCTTAATAAGTTGGGCAGTGGTGGTGCACAAATTTAATCCCAGCACTTGGGAGGCAGATGCAGGCGGATCACAGTTCAAAGCTAGCCTGATCTACAGAGCTAGTTCCAGGACAGCCAGGGCTTCCCAAAGAAACCCTGTCTCGAAAGGAAAAAAAAAAAATCTAGGGAACCATATGACATATGACTCAATTAGAAACTGGTAGTAAAGAGCACAGCAGTCCTTTACTCATTCTATCAGTTTCTGTCTTTTAAGAATTGTGAAGAAGATTTAACCAGGAACCTCTACCCACTGCAGTTTTTCAAAATCTGTACTAATAAAACGCCTGCAGTTTTGCTATATCTGGAGGTTGTTTTTCACCAGCCAATTCTCCAGTAAATCTAGTTCATACAAAACCATAAAACTTCCAATGAGAGTTCAGTGTATGGAGTATAAATAAGCAAATAATACTAAGGACAAACACTAATTTATGATTACTTGACCATTAACAGGCATACTGTTTTGAAGGTTGTTAATAGCAATGACTAATACATACATATACATACATATGTATATGTATGTATATGTAGTGGTATTTGCTCTGCCCATGACCTTGAGGTATAGGGCCCCTAAAGAGGCAGTGCTTCCTGTTGTCCTATGTGACCTCTTAAAAGGGAGAAGGGTCACAAATACCAGGTAGATTTGCTCAGAACAGAGCTGTTTACTTGGTTTCTGTATCCACTGAATGTATTTCCTCAATTTATATCTTAATAAATCCCTATTACCCATTAAATAGACTCATGTGGGTTGATCTTAACAAGTGGCATCCAACATACACACACAGATCTTATCTGTTAGCACGGGCTGGCCTCCAACTCAGAGATCTGCCTGCCTCTGCCTCCCAAGTGCTGCTAGGTGTGTATCACCACCACCAGACAGTAATAATTTAGGAAACTGGGGGTGGGCAGACCTCAGTGCATATTTGTCACCTATGTATAGAAATGAAAATAGGTACTTTAAGTCCCCTTGTTCTACAGCTAGAAAATGAAGATGCTTAAAACTAAATTACTAGCTACTGCTAAGTTTAACATAATTTTTACTCAGGCCAAGATTATTTCAAGTGTTACACTCCCTATTTAATAACCCACACTCACCATTTAATATATCTTTAAGATTATAATTGCTGGGCGGTGGTGGCACACGCCTTTAATCCCAGCACTCGAGGCAGAGGCAGCCGGATCTGTGAGTACAAGGCTAGCCTGGTCTACAGAGGCTAGCCTGGTCTACAGAGCGAGATCCAGGAAAGGTTCAAAGCTACACAAGGAAACCCTGTCTCGAAAAACAAAAAAAATAAATAAATAAGATTATAATTATATTGGGGTTGGGGATTTAGCTCAGTGGTAGAGCACTTGCCTAGCAAGCGCAAGGCCCTGGGTTCGGTCCTCAGCTCCAGAAAAAAAAAAAAAGATTATAATTATATTATACTACTTGGGAATATACTCACTACTTGTTCCTAACAGTCACTCCCATCCATAACAAGACCACAAGCCTCTAGAGATCAAATTACAAACATATGTTTTATTTCTCTACAGAAGAGTAACCACTACCAAGCAGTTCTGAAAATGGCTTGACCATTGCAAATGAGAAGATCCAAAACTTGCAACTTCATCTTTAACCTCCTCCTATATGGTCAAATCAGAAATGCTTTAGTGCTCACCTAGTTGAGAAACCATCTACAACTATTTCAAATATTCTGTATCTCAATTCCTAACAGATATTAACTTGGGAATTTAAATCTTGATGTATTCATGAAGCCACATTTCTAACATTTCTGAAGGGCTAAAGCGGGAGGAGACAGGTTCTCACCAAGCCTGGGAACTCTTTGTGGACCAGGCTGGCTTCAAGGTCATAAGAAATCAGTCAGATCTGCTAGAACTGAAGGTGTGCACCGCCACACCTGGCTTACATGTCTAACATTTAATGGCAGGTGTTTTTCTACTAACGTCTACTACCGGTAGTCTTGCATACTAACTTTTATTTTTGATGAATGACTTCCTAGCTATTTCTCTTACTCATTTCTCACTTCAAAGCAAAACTACTCTTAGGCACGTGTATGCTTATATATAAGGTTGGGAGGCATAACACATGCCTTTAATCCCAGCACTGGGAGACAGCAGGTAGATCTCTGTGAGTTCAAGGTCAGCCTGGTCTACAAAGCAAGCTCCATAACAGTAAGGGTTGTTACAGAGAAACCCTGTCTTGAAAAACCAAAAAAGCGTTGTTTTGTTTTGTTTAAATCTCTGCTTTTGTTTTTCTTGAGACAGGGTCTCATGTAGCTCAAGATGGACTTAAAACTTACTATATACCAAAGCTGGCCTTGAACTTGAACTCACTTTCTATCTCTATCAAGTGCTCCAATTAAAGGAGTATCAAAGTATGCTTAAGGATTAAATTTGTATAGTATTAGTTTAAACGAAGCTTAGTACCATAATATTTGTGAATTAGACAAACTAGTTTTATAATAAACTTATCTAATCAAAAAATTTAACTCAGGCTGGGAGTGCTGGTGCCTATAATCCTAGCACTCACGAGGCAGAGGCAGGTTTGAGTTCCAGGACAGGCTCCAAAGCTGCACAGAGAAACCCTGTCTCAGGAAAAAAATTTTTAACTCCCAGATAAGTTAACGTGACAATCTACATCATTGGTAGTAGGACTGAGTATGGGGGTGCTTTGCATCCTAAGCACTACAACTGGGTTACATTAACAATAACTCAACACCGACAAGCGAGCAATTAATGTTTTTTGTTCTTTTCTTTTTGAAAACACGGTTTTACTATGTAGGGATCCTGTCTCATGGCCTCCAGAGTGCAAGAATTACAGGCCTGCACTACCACACCCAGCTGCAAACTGCTTACTGCCCCAAGTTTAGATGGATAAAATATTGGAATATCCGGAAAAGATTATTTTGTCTTTAATTATTGTTCCCAAGACAAGCTTGGAAATTTCCTGTCACCTTTAATTTCGGTATCAGCTTCCCCTAAAAATTCAACTGTCTTTTTTGCACACAGTATTCCAGTAACTCAGTAAAAATACTTGACCTACCTAAAAATATCTTAGTTGCTCTACTACTAATTTAGTACGATACTGTCAGCCACTTTTACGTATCATTTCTCTCTGAGAAAGACAGTAGTACCTACCTCAAGCAAAGTTCCACTAACTTATATATTTCAAGTGATTTGTAACCTGCAGATAAAAAGTAAGCTGTAATTATTGCAATTACAATTAATCTGCGGCACTTCCTTTTGCAAACAGAAAACACTCCGACTCCTACCACTTATTCCTACGGGGGAAGAAAAAGTAAGGAAAACTCCATCTATTGTTAAAACGCCGTTCCGATGCCATGTGGCCCGCCCGGAATTTAGAAGCTTCCAGTACATACATCATCACGGTATCGCTCCCCCACCCCCGCTCGGCGTTTAACTTAGAAGGTAATAACGGAATCAGTTAGGACATTAAACTTCAAGTACACGAACAGGCATTCCGTTCTTCGTTTTCACGCTCCCCCCCCCCCCCCGCCTTCCCCTTCCTGGAGTCCGAATAATGGTCGTAGGAAATGAAAAGGAGCCGTTAAACACGAGCGCGCCAACGGGGTCTTCTCCGCGCCGGCCGTGGCCTGGAGGTCACCGGGTTGACCGGGCGCCAAGGCCGAGGCCTGCTGACTCCCGCCTTAGCCCCAATCCCCGCACCACGGCAACAAACGCGGGCTCCGTTTCTGCCGCGAGGCCGTTTCCTCTCCCACACCCCCTCGCCGGGCCCAGGAACCCGGTGCCTCCCCTGCACTCGGCCCCTCCGCTTACCGAGAAGATGGAGAGAGAGAAGGGACTGCCTCTCCTCCTGCGGTTCCGTGCCGAGACGCCGAAGCTACAGCGGGCAAGCAGCGCACGACCGTTCGCTCGCCGTCTCTTCACAAAATGGCCCCCGAGCTCCTCGGCCGCCGAGGCGAAGGTCCAGCCCCCGCCCCGCTCCCGGGGGCGTTCCTATTGGCTGAGACTTTTCTCGCTCCCGCTCCTCATTAGATGGCTCTACCGCTCCTCACAGCGCTGGCCAATCACAACCGGCAATGGGTGGGCCTCATGGGGAGAATTTCCACCTGCGTAACAGAGGCTAGTTAGTAATTGGTGACGTTTCCTGTCACTTAGCGTCTGGAGAATGCTTATTGGTCACTGTACCGGACGGAAAGCTGGGTGGAATGTTCGCCTTTGTATCGCGCACAGCTTCTCATCCGGGTATCGGGTGGAGCTGAGTGACGGCCGCGTCGTCCAATCGCCGCTGCTTAGAGTGCCTGGGTCCGGCCGGATCCCCGCATTTCCGCGGCGCGGGGGTGGGCAAGTCTGGGTGGAGTCTGGTGGCGGGTGCAAAGGGCCTGCCCTAGCCCCAGGCCTAGAAAAAGGAAAGCGCCAAAGTAAGCGTGAGGGTAATCCCTAGCCGCCTGGAGTGTAGGGGACTACTGTGCTGCAGAGTTTTTTTTTCTAATTCCGATCCTTTCTCATTTCCACATTCTATACGCTGCCTGGAGGACCTGGCCACTCAGCCTATCAGGCTAGACGGCTCCTTCCCAACCTGCCCTCTCCCGTAGGAACGGCTACCTGGACCCCTGCAAACAGGTTCCCTGGTCCCAAGTCATCACACAATCTGCAAACCTCAATTTCCCGCCTCCTGCGAGAGCCCGACTGCCACTTAATCCCCTCAGTCAGGCCTGGCAGTAAATTTCTGGTTATTCTGTAGGAACCCTGAACACACCGAAATGTATACAGCCCACTTAGAAAGGGAGATATTGCCCCAAGGAGATACATACACCAGATCTAGGAAATGACTGATTTAGTTTTCTATTTTTGGGAGCCAAGTGGTGGCACTCGCCTTTAATCCCACCACCCTTGAGGCAGAGGCAGGCGGGTCTGAGTTCGACACCGGCCTGGACTACAGAGTGAGTTTCAGAACATCGGGGCTACGCAGAGAAACCTTGTCTCGGAAACAAAATAAAAAATAATGGAAATAAATGAAACTGTGGCATTTTCATGAGGTTTATTTATTATTTATTTATTTGTTTTTGTTTTTTTGAGTCAGGGTTTCTCTGTGTAGCTTTGCGCCAGTCCTGAAACTCCCTCTGTAGCCCAGGCTGGCCTTGAACTCACAGAGATACGCCTGACTCTGCCTCCCGAGTGCTGGGATTAAAGGCGTGTGCACCACCACCGCCCGGCGGTTTATTTATTCTATGTGTATGTGTGTAAGTGAGTTTAAGTGCTCCAAATTTTAGTTAAAAAAAAAAATTGGGGGGATTAAAGGTGTGCTTGAAGATGGCTCAGCAGCTAAGAGCATCTGCTGCACTTCTAGGGGACCCAGGTTGAGTTTACAGCACCCACGAGGGAGTTCACCGTGTAACTCCAGTTCCAGGAGGTTCCAACACCCTCTTCTGGCCCCCGACGGCACTTGGCACACATGATACACGAACACACTTGCAGGTAAAACATGCATACACACAAAAACTTTTTTTTTTTTTTTTTTAAATTAAAAAGACAAGTCTAGGCTGGGCGGTGGTGGTGCACGCCTTTAATCCCAGCACTCGGGAGGCAGAACCAGGCGGATCTCTGTGAGTTCGAGGCCAGCCTGGGCTACCAAGTGAGTTCCAGGAGAGGCGCAAAGCTACACAGAGAAACCCTGTCTCAAAAAACCAAAAAAAAAAAAAAAAAAAAAAGACTAAATCGGGCGGTGGTGGCCACGCCTTTAATCCCAGCACGCAAGAGGCAGAGACAGGCGGATCTCTGTGTATTTGAGGCCAGCCTGGGCTGTGTGAGTTCCAGGAAAGCCGCCAAAACTACACAGAGAAACTGTGTCTGGAGGGGAAAAAAAGAGAAGTTTAGTGCTGGGCTCAGTGATGGGTACTTGCTTAACGTGCACAAGGTCCTGAGTCCAATCCCCGGTACCATAAAGTAAGAGAAAGACAATAATGGAGAAAAAGTGGAGATTTCTGTGTGCTGCTGTTAGGGAAAGATCCTATCCTCCCACCCCACCCATGGGTAGCCATGGGTGTCCTGGAATTCACTTTGTAGACCAGGCTGGCCTTAAACCCAAAGAGATCCACCTGCCTCTGCCTCTTGAATGCTAGGATAAAATGTGTCAATCACCACGCCCGGCTCCTATTTTATATTTTCTTTGTTTATATTGGAGGGCACACCTTGGATCATGTATGCACTAGTTACACCAAGTGAATCCTGAAGATTAAACTCAAGTCATCAGGTTTGGCCACAGGCTTCTCTTCGCACTGAACCGTCTCAGTAGCCCTAAATCTATTATTATCATTATTAGTATTATTATTAAAGCAAGGCACAAAGCTGGGTGTAGTGGCACAGGCCTTTAATCCCAGCATTGGAGAAAGGCAGGCAGATCTCTGAGTTCTAGACCAGCCTTGTCTACAATTCCAAGGCTACACAGAGGAATTCAGTCTCAAAAACAAATAAAAAACAAGGTACAGAGCACTATTTATGCCGTGTAATGGTATTTGTAGACATATCTGTTGACGTAGATGTGAAGGCAGTTTCAGGCATAGTTTGGAATTAATTCTGAATTCTACAGAAACAAGGAAGCTGCTACTTTGGGAGAGAGAAACCTTCACATTTTCATTATTATCCCTTTTTATATAGTTGAGGTTTTTTTTGGCCATGTGCGTGTATTGTTACAAACTAATTCGAAACCCAAAACAATAAGTATGGAAAAGATATGTTGAAGTGGTTTTGTTGTGCTGCCTTGGCTGACTTAGAACTCACTGTGTGACCAGCCTGGGCTTGAACTTGTGTCAATCCTCCTGCTTCTGCCTCCCAAATGTTGGAATTTTCAGTCTGCACTACCATGCTCAGCTGTTCTCCTGTGGTTTTGTTTGTCTATTTGTTTTGGTTTTTGTTTGTTTGTTTGTTTTGGTTTTTCGAGACAGAGTTTCTCTGTGTAGTTTTGGTGCCTGTCCTGGAACTCACTCTGTAGACCAGGCTGGCCTCGAACTCACAGAGATTAAAGGCATGCGCCACCACCGCTCAGTTTGGAGTTTTACCTTTTAGAGTGTATGTATGTACATAAGTGAATTCATTTCTGTGTTTTTTGAGATGGGATCTCACTTTGTGGCTCAAGCTGGCCTTCAACTCTTGATAATCCTCCTGTCTCCACTTCTCCAGGGCTGTGATTACCAGCATCCACCACCATTTGTGGTTTAGAGGAATTAACAGAATGGCATCTCCTTGTAATGTCCTCCCAATTTCACTGATGAATAGAATGGAAAAGCAGCAACTTACTTATGGGAGCAATGGTCTCAATATCTATCTCCTGGGGATGAAGCTGGGTTGGTAGAGTGCCTTGCTCAGGATGCACAAATCCCTAGGTTCAATTGCCAAGGCCAGAAGAGGGCATCTGATCCCCTTGAACTGGAGTCGCAGGTAGTTGTTAGTCCCCATACAGGTCTGGGAATTGAACCTGGGTCCTCTGGAAAAACAGCAGTGCTCTTATTATTTGGGGAGGAGCAGGGGAGACCAGACAGACAGAGACAGAGAAAGAGAGAGAGACCAGACATACAAACAGTGGGAGTATGGTGCCAGAGGACAGCTTTTCAGAAGTGGTTCTCTCCTTTCACTGTCACATGGGTTCCACAATCAAAGTCAGGCCATCAAGCTTAGACAGCAAACACCTTTACCCACTGAACCACCCTGCCCTCAACCTCCTGAGTGGTGGCATTACAGGCATAAGCCACCATGATTCTAACCTTTATTAACAGCAGCATTGCACTAGAATATATTGCAATCTAATTTAAAAAAAAAATCAGTCTCCTATTTATGGACGTCGCTTGTAGGGTGTTGTGTGTGTGTTTGCGCCAGAGCTTGAGATCAGAGGCCAGAAACAGACAGTGGGTGTCCTCCTCAATCTTCTGCACCGTGTTTTTGAGTCAGGGTCTCTCACTGAAATGGGGCTCCGTGAGATTTGGTTAGGCTTGCTGGCCCTTGAACCCCAGGATCGTCCTGTTTCTGCTTCCCCAGCATTAGAAACAAATAAACACTAATCTCAGCTAGACAAAGGAGCACCTTGCACAAAGACAAAGTAGTTGTACGAGGCCGTTTTCTTTGGGCAGGAAGGGTGTACCTGAATCTAAACCAGGCTAGCAAGCAGGAAGTTGGCTTTGTTTTTATTCTGTATATTTAGGCAGGGTGTCACCACGAATCCTCTGTGTTGACCACGCGGGCACCTAACTCACAGAGCTCTTCCTGCCTCTGCCCTCAGAGTGCAGCGATAAAATGAATGTGCTACTACTTCCGGTCTGGGGGCTTTTATTCTGACACAGGTGGTGACTGTCTTTGCCTGTTGGCTGTGTTCTGACCTCACAGTCTTTCGAGACAGGCTGGTTTTAAAAGAATTGGGAAAAATGAAAGGAGGAGAAGGGGGGGAGGCAGGATCGCTTCAGGCCATCAGGTTCTGGAATACAAAGGTGGTAGGCTTCCTGTAACCAATGTTTTACCAGGTGCGGGAGATTCAAAGATTGGCCTAATGTTTACAAAGTGAGGGAAATTTATGGAATTTTGGCCCTTGAAGGGCTAGCTCCTAGTATGTATGTGTATATTCGTTTGTTTATTTATTTATTTATTTATTTATTTATTTTTGTTTTTTGAGACAGGGTTTCCTGGAACTCTAGACTAGGCTACCCTCAAATTCAGAGATTCTCCTGCTCTTCCTCTAGTGCTGGGATTAAAGGCTTGGGCCACCACACCAGCTAAGGCTAGCTGCTGTTTTTTGTTTTTTGTTTTTTCAAGACAGGGTTTCTCAGTGTAACAGTCCTAGCTGTCCTGGAACTCGCTTTGTAGACCAGGCTGGCCTCAAACTCACAGAGATTCACCTGCCTCTGCCTCCCTAGTGCTGGGATTAAAGGCATAAGACACCACCGCCCAGTATGCTAGCTA